TATACGGTTGGCTCAGATATTTTATAGCGTTATTCTCAGGCCCAACACCCCTCACTTATACACTGAGGAAAGGTAAATCTTGAAGTGGTGATTGTAGCCAATTATGTGTTCATTTACCTACTGTGTTAGTCCTGTCTTCCCTTGCGATGGTTTTTGAAGGTAAGGTACGAATCGACCAGAGTGGCAGTGGGTACACTAAGGTGTGGGCATCTGGAGACACTAGCGGGCACGCTTACGTACATAGTAGAAAAGAAGTACACACATACTCGGGCGCTAAAGCTCTAGGTAGTGTAAGTACCTACCTTATTTTAAGTACTGCACGATATTCTATCCCACCTTTGTCGAGGCATCTTCACTGCAACTATTATGCTCCTTGAATTGCCAGCCCTAGGAAGCAATAAAAGGACGCGTTCATAACGCGTCATCCGCTATCACTTTCCCGGTCGTCGTGGACTGCCTTGTATCGGCATCGCAGTTTTCCCCGGCTGAGTACTGTATGGATAGCGAGAATGCCGCGTCCGAGGAAGCGGAAACGCGCTGCTTCTGCCGGTGAGTTCAACACGGAAGGCTCCCCTATTTGGAGGAGGGAGGAGAAGAAGAAGAAGAAGAAGAAGAGCGGCAGCCAGTCTTTGCTTAACTCACCATTTCGACATCCTGTCTTAAGCCACTACTTTCCGCATGTTCAAAGTCTACGCCAGTATATCACAGCGCAATTGCCGCCTTCGTCTAAAATCAGGCGCAAAAAGATATCTGCTGTGGGTATTGTCAGTAAGTCTCATGATATGCCCTTGTCCGACGTAGAGCGGTCTCTCGGAGCCTTGCTCGACACGACAGTTGTCTGTTACTCGGATCCCGCGGCCGAAGCAGCGCCTCATCGGATGAATGAGTGGAAGGAATTCTCACATAGAGGCGACGAGTCGTACGTTACTCTATCTAATGGCGTTGCCGGTTTTGTGGAATCACAGGCTCTGGTAAGCGGGTGTCAATCTCACCACGTCCCGATATGAGAACTGCTAGTACATAGAGATCCAGCTTTTGATGAGTGACTAATCAGTATACATCAGATTGTGGAATATGTTGTAAGGACTTTATTTAGCAAAGATAGATCTGCCAAGTGGCCGAATCACCTTCTATGCGATGGCTTTCATCGAAATGGAGGTCTGGGGCTGCGAACAGTCCGACCAAACCGCTATGTGGAAATGCTGCAGCAACCTCCATGGCCACAATTGTTAGCCCTTCTCGGCGAGTCAGGAGATCGTATCATGATAGACTTACTTCTTGATTGTGCTATCTTCACATCTATCGATACAGTTACAAACAACGTCTGCCAAATCAGCGGTAGGTTGCTTCTATGCGTTAACCCTTCTGATAAGTTCTCACACCGCCTGTAGGAAGGCCTCTGTCTAGTATCTCGGTATGCCGCCCTACATCAACAGGTGAACGGCTTTTGACACCTAGAAAATGCTCGGACCTTGTTTTTGTGCGAAGCCGAATGTTCTACGCAAGGCCTGCTCTCAATGCTCGTGGCCTAATTCATTTCGGCCTGAGACATATACGTAAGGAATGCGAAGTGAAACTACTAAGCCTTAGCTGATGATCTGTACAGATGTATTGAATCGCTGCCCACTCCAGCAACTCGAAGCAGAACAAGGCATTGAGATGCAGACACATTTGAATCAACAGAATGGAATTCAGACGCTCAGAGTGATGATGTACATTTTCCCTAGACAATTCGGACTCCACAATGTCTTTACCAGCGAAGTCAACACGAAAGAAACGTCACAACGGCTGAAGGATTATACCCTACGAGAGGATGAAATTCTTGAAAAGTTTGGTCGTCTTCTAGACAATGGTGTTTTCGTCAAGACTCCTAAGCGGCTCCGGGGACCTGTAAGAGATCTAGTCCACAAGCTTCAGATTCTACATCAACGCTGTTCCTATTACCAGCTTATGCAACATTATTGTCCTGTATGTTCCATAGCATATCCTCCAACTTAATGCTAATATGAGTAGATTCCGTTCTCTATTGACGAACCGCAACTTCAATCAGAATCTGGCAAAGTGCGGAGGCACCCCGGGCAATCGAAAATGAAGAAAAGGAAATGGGTAACGCAACTTCGCAGAATGACTTATATTCAACAAAAGAATCCAAATTCTTCGGTCACAGCATTGGCTACCTCGTCCACCGAAGTGTCATCATTTTGCCAGGCTGTTCTTAGAAAAATAATCCCGCAAGGGTTTTGGGGCTGCGGTGTGGCCGCAACCCACAACGAGCTCCAATTTCTCATGAAAGTTGACAGGTTCATTTCTCTCAGACGATTCGAGGGTATGTCTCTTCACGAATTATCCCAGGGGATGAAGGTGAGTGAAGACAACGCGTCATAACTGGACGGGACTGACACGTAGAAGATCACAAGCATCGAATGGCTAGCACCTATCCAGCTTATGATGAACAAGATATCGTTCACTGACATGCAGAAACGCCAGGAGCTTTTCAACGAGTTTCTTTACTTTCTCTTTGATTCTATCTTGATACCCCTTGTCCGAAGCAACTTTTATGTTACAGAGTCAAGCACCGATAAGTATCGTGTATTTTTTTTTCGCCACGATATCTGGCGGTCCCTTGTGGAACCTGCCATGATAATCCTGAAGGAGAAAACACTCGAGGAAATTAGTCTTGCCGAAGCGAATGATATACTTGATTCGCGCCGCCTTGGGTTCAGTCATATCAGGCTACTTCCTAAAGGGGCGCAGATGAGGCCGATTACAAATATGGGTCAGAGAAATCCTACTCGTGGGAATCCCAAAGAACTAGGCCTAAGCATCAACAAGATCCTGGCACCAGCTCATAAAGTTCTTCAACTTGAAAAGGTAGGACTGCCTATTTTAGAGAGTATGTCTCCTCTAATATGTATAACTTCAGGTCATGAACCCAAGCAGGCTGGGTTCGGCATTATTTTCCGTCGACGATATCTATGAGCGGATGAAGACCTTCAAATTTAGGATGCTAAAACTACCTACCCGGTTTTATTTCGCAAAATTGGACGTGCGGGCGGCTTTTGACACAATTCCACAAGCAGCCATTGTGAGCTTATTAAACTCTATACCTCAACAACGTCAATACCGAATTTTGAAGTACCTCCAAGTAAGCCCGAGCATTGTGGCTCAGAGACTTGGCCAGGATAAAAAATCAAATCCTGTGAAGAAATGGCCAATGCTAGCATTCAAAAGCGGCGATGCCTCTACTCCACTTCACCATCTCGAAAACGGCCAAAACGCAAGAAAACGGAATACAGTTTTCGTTGATCTTTACCAGAAGCAATTCGAAACGAGCGAGCTGCTTCAGCTGGTGGCATCCCACATCCAAGATAATATTATCAAGGTTGGCAAGAAGTACTACCGGCAAAAGCAAGGCATTCCCCAGGGTTCGATTCTATCCTCTACACTCTGCAATTACTTCTACGCAGATCTTGAGACTCATGTTCTTTCATTCCTTAACTCTAAAAATAGCCTTCTCCTACGACTTATCGACGATTTCCTACTTATCACTACCGACAGACTTGAAGCAGTTCAGCTCGTTGAGACTCTTCACCGTGGTGTACTAGAATACGGTGTCACTGTGAATCCTACAAAAAGCCTAGTTAACTTTGACCTGGTCGTCGATGGTCAACAGGTTCCCAGGTTAGAAGACCGTGAAGGCTTCCCATATTGCGGTACTTTGATCGATCCCATGACTCTCAATATCAGTCGTGCTTCGAATCAGGCAGAGAGCAATGGTAAGCTTCGTATGCTAAATATCTTGTCCCGTTACCACACTAAATAGATTCTCAGGTATATACAACTCGCTCACCGTCGAGTACAGTCGGACCCCGGGCCAAACATTCGAACGCAAGGTCATCAGTAGGTCTTGGATATTTTGACTGCATAGTATACGCACTAACTTCAGTCTCTCTAGATGCATTCAAGATCCAGAGTCACCTAATGTTCTTCGACACGAGGCTCAACTCTGTGTCAAATATGCTAAAGAATCTTCATAGGGCGTTCATGGAAACTGCTTCAAAGATGTGGGCGTATGCACGTTGCTTGCCAGCGCCGAAGCAACCACCTCCAAAATTTATTATTAGTAAGCCAACCATTTTTCGTTTATCCTTGGTCTAAGCAACAGAAAATCCACCCAACCTTCCAAAAAAAACTAAAAAATCTGACCTACATGTCAAGAAACAATTAAAAAACTGGCCGAGACAGCGTACATACTCCTCGCCGGCAAGACAAGAAGACTTCGATACCCGGGCTATTTCTGTGATGTTAAAAAATGTGAAGTAATCTGGTGAGTTCCACCCATTGATTAAGAATGCAAGCTATCAAGGCTAACAATTATTGTTCAGGCTAGCCTATAGCGCATTTCACCAGATATTAAGTCGTAAGCAGGCCAATTACAGCGAAATTCTGGCTTGGTTAGAGGCGGAGAGGATTAAATTGAGCATGTCGAAGGATATTCGGCATGCCCGTGTACAAACTCTTGTGTAATAGTACATCTGAATTTATTCAAGCGTATAATCTTTTCAAATACGAAAAAGAAAAAAAGAACCACTACGCGTGTCATACGCATTAGAAAACAATGCACAGAAGAATAAAAACGACGAGTTTTATCAAGTCGAGCACAACCATGATGTATGCAGTTCAGTTGTTACATATATGTCAAATACGTTTTAATATGATTTGAATTAAATGAACAGACAACGCATTACCGCAGTATTATTGAGCACAACTATAATATATATAGTTTAGTTGTCATCTATATGTCAAATATGTCTTTATATGTTTTCAATTAGATGAATAGACAACGCATTAGCGCAACATTAATAACTATTACGATACTTAAAGACAAAGGGCGTGAAGTGCATATAGTTGCAGCCTAGATCACGAAAGTTTAGCCTTCTTCGTGCGACAACAGGAATATGTAACCCGTATACTAAGGCTTTTGACAATAACAAATCGCAAGGCCTCCCTAGGAATCGAACACAGATTAGCGGAATCAGAATCCGCTGTGATCGCCGTTATACTAGGAAACCGTCAGAAAGACTTGATTGAGCTGTTCTAACTGGGTGCTCCAAGGGCCCAAACTAGCCTCATTTTGAACGAGGTCAAGGCTGCCTACCCACTTGGAATAGCTTCATCCTCTTCCTCTGCAGTAGAGTAGGAGCGTCCGCAAAGGAATCGGAGGCTTAGCTCGCTACACCGAGAAGTAAATTATGATAGTAATCAACACTTATCGAAAGAATGGCGCGCCCCTTTGCTGGCGCAGGTTGATACTATAACGTACTGGCAACTATTCTCGTAGTTCGATGTCTGATGGTGTTTTATTGTGTAATTTATTTTTTTACTAAATGGATGTTCTCTAGCTTGCGGAGATTGCCTTGGGCAGGCATAGTATATAGACCAAAGACGGTGGCGTTTAAAAAGTTGTATACCGGTAGATCATATCTATTCGGTTAATTCGGCTCTATGATCGAGATTTCTTCTGACTAATGTAAATACTTCTACCGACTACCGTTGAGAATATTAACCAGCATCTTGGCAGAATATTCGCGCGAAGAATTTGACAGCGGAGGATCCAACAGTTTTCGGATTAAGAACTGAAGGAAATCCTCCAAGATAGGCCGTGTAAGATCTGGTTCTTTACTAACTCGTGGGATTATTCCGCAATAGTTATAGAGCGGCTGTCCGGATATCATGCCTCGTCGCATTGTCTCCGACCGTCATTAGGACACTCACGTACCTCCACGATAGCTTCGTATTTTATTATATTGAAGCTCAGCCGTAGATAGTGTGTCCTTTACAGTCTCTAGCTAGTTATCGTCAGGTCGAAAGTATACATAACTCTAGCGGAAATCATTGTAATCGTTTAGAGACTTTCATTGACCATTTAATTAATCCTACAATCCCCCTCTACCCAATCGAGTCTCTGCTATAGACTACTGCGCCGTGACAGTTGCCGTGTATTTGTCTATCCTATATTAACTAATCGAATACTCCAAATCCGCATCCTTCTATTCCTATCTCTAAGTATCTGTCTAAATTCTGTATTTTAATTTTTCCACCTGCCTGTACCCAATCAATCCAAGCAATTAAATCGCAATGCCAGTTTCCCACCACCTACCCCGAGAACCCCACTGCCATCTAGGCAAGGAATCCCTATCGTACCGCCACACGCGTCTGTCGACGCCGAGCCCAGCGGCCCTAGCAAAAGATACTGGCACGGGCTCCCACAACCAGATCCCACTAAGTATTCGGGTCAGTAATTGTCATGTTGGGTATAATCTAAGGGGTGTTCGAAGCCACTGCAAGCCTCCAGAGCAGGCATTTCATGAAAAAGAAGCCCTTTCGCTAAGAAAATAGCCGGGAACGGGTAGTATATAGCTCTAAGAGTTACTCACCAGCGACCGAAATCGTCCAAGAGCACCCAGGAGGTAGCCCAGAGCCAGAGGATTACGAATGTCAAGTTGCCCAGACGACACATCCAGCGAGGAAGTCTTTCGATTCTGCGCCGCAATAGATGAACAATTGCGGATTGCAACATCGTCCCCATACCCGAGAGCGCAAAGAATAGAGGTGGACCCCAGAATTGCGTCGTCGGCACTGAGCTGTAACTGCCCGCGCCGTGAACCAAGCCGGACTGCGCAAAGGCTATGATGGCGCCGAAAAGGGGGCCTGTTATTCTGGCTCTGTTACCGTTAGACGGAAAGTATCCGTTGCGAAGCAGCCACTTGGTAGGCCCGGAGAAACCGGCCCGGAACGTTTGATGCCACCACGAACCCCAGAAGCCGGGCAGCCCACGATCTAGCACCTGTGTGAACGAGCCCGTCATGCTCGGTAGGTGCCAAGGGTGAGCGCGAAAGCCAAGGATCGGGGGGCAGTAGATGGCGAGAGCTAGAGCGCCGGAGTTCCATGCGTATTGTAGTGCGATATATATCGCGACAAAGGCGAGCGCTGTGCGCTGGAGAGAGAGGAGTATGGGGTGGAGGGAGGCGAGATGCGGGGGCAGTGGGTGGTTATGCTCCGGCCCTGCAATGAAGTACTTTAACACTCAGGGTCAGTAAATACCATATTGAGTGTAGCATAAAGAACTATCGAAGCCGCGGGAAACCTCTAAAACAAGTATTTGGTGAAGAAAGAAGCCTTTCCACTAGGAAAGTGACCAGGAACAGGAAGTTTATAGCTCCGAGAATTACTCACGGGATCGGTCGTCATGAGGGCTGCGCAGATATCTACGATAATGTAGCTTGGGAGGAAGTTGAAAAACAGCCTGGAAAGAATCAACTTTCGGCGCGATAGAGTCCTCTCGTAGCCCTCCTTGGTCCTGTTAGAACCGTAACCCAGTGGAAGCTGATACGGGCCAATTGTGGGAGGCGGCTTATATGGAGGAAGACACGAAGGGGCCAAGTTCCAACCTTGATATGATCTTAGTATAATATTATACGTATGATGGAGAGCATGTTGTACTTACCAGTTAGACGAAACGAGCTGACGATGTCGAATGCCCAGTCGAGACGAGTCCAGAACGAGGCGTCGGCGGGATACTCTTGCCAATAGTACTCATACTCCTGGTCTCGTGCAAGTCTGTACAGCTCAAGCGCGGCCCCCTCGTCCAGTGGCGGGTTCTTATCATTGTCATTAAGTGCGATTATACCTTTCACGAAGAGCTTCTTTTCCGTGTCCTGTCCTATGCTCTCCGGGATACCACTTCGTCTTTCCCTTACCCCATTTGCCATTCCAGTCCCATTTCGCAATACCCCTTTATCTGTAAGACCAGCTGCAGCGTCGTCGACCCCGTTGGCTTCTGGCGTAGCCGATGCTTGGCGGGTAAACTTGTCAACGCCCAGTTTATGCCCATCCTGGAACAGAGTGGGGGATTGATCCCATCCCCGACCATTCCCTACCTGCTCGATGTGCCTATTTATTTTTCGTCTTTCTACTCTTCTTGCATCCCACTGGGGCCTCGTCCACACAAACAAATAAAAATTCCACTACGATACTTGGGTCAGTAATTGTTATATTGAGCGCAATGTAAAAGACTATCGAAACCACTCGAAGCCTCTGAAACATGTATTTGATGAACGGAAAAGCCTTTTCCGCTGACGAAGTGGCCAGAAATAAGAAGGTATATGGCTCCGAGAATTACTCACAATGGTTGCCCAAGCAGCTACCAACCCGGCTCCATAGCTTGCGGCGAAATTAAGACTCTTCACATGCTTTACCATGTACCAATTAAACACGCAGACAAACCCAAGGACGAGCCATCTCGCATGGTACAGCCACGGCCTCTTCGTATGCGGGATAGCCAGGTAGAGCGTGGGGATGATCCAGTAAGCGAGCAAGTGCAACGGCACGACAAACGGCGTCGTAGTGCCGGTGCGCACGTCGGCGCGGAACTTGGCTCGGTAAAGGTCCCGATATGCACTTGCTAAGTCCGGCAGGGATTGGGGGGGTTGTGACATGACTAGAAGCGAAGTCTATTTCTTATGCTTTTCGAGGGTGCCATGTACATAACCTTCCCTACCTGCCTACTTAGTCAATCCGTGTCCGTGGCCGTTGGCCCTGCAGCTGCGGGATGTAAGTAGGTATGCTGTGGGACGTAAACCGTGGCGCTGGCCAAGATAAATAAGTCTAGAAACTATGACATATACAGTCTAGCGACAGCCAATAAAAAAAGGGCCTAATGAGAAGCAGGCGTCGGGAGTAGAAAAGAAACAGGTTAAATATATATCTATAAGGATAGGACAGACCTCGGGTTAGGTGTAAGACTTTGTTTAACAAAAAGCCAAGCAAAGTGCGACCACAGGTCATATTCTCGCCGCCTGCAGCATTCGTGACGACCGAGTCTACTATTGACTGCTCGGATCACGCTAGAGAATGCTCTTGATTGACGGCAATGACGTCAATACCGCTTTCCAACATGCATGACGGGTTTGAGAAGATTGTTTGGGTCTACATTGTCAGAGTTTGCCGCTCGCTGCTATTACTGTAGGTATCTAGACGGGTGTAACATGTCATTGATATTTTTGACACATCGTAGACACATCTCACATAAAAGACAACAACTTCCATACACTTTCATACACTTTGTTCGTAATAATTGTCAAATCGTTATACACATGTCTAGACTCTGGCAGAAACAATCTGATCCAGAACCCTCGCAACAAGCCACATCGCCGCCCAGCAGAGCAGCCAAGCGGCAGAGACAGTCAGGACACCTAGGGCAAAGAGCACCGAGCTTCGCAACGCGAAGGCATCTGCCGCTTCCACCCTAAGGAGCTTTTTCTGTTTCGTTTGGTAGAACCAGGGATTGCCATTTGCTTGCCTTGATGCGGGGGAGGCCGCATCGTCGCCCTTGGCCTGAACTTGGTAGCTGTCCACCCAGTCGTATGGCGAAGCACGCTGCCGATATAAAAGCTTGTGCAGCCACGTCCTCCGGCTGCTGCCGTTCGCCTTGCCCTCCGGCCCACGCTCATGCTGCGCTCGGTTGCGGTTGTCTATGAGGTATAGGGATACGATGAATGCGATGAAGTTTATGGGGGTTGCGATAGCCTGTTGTTGTGGTCGGTGTGAGCTGCTATGTTATATGTATGACATATGGTATGTATGACTTATACTAGGTTGCTCGGTATAGAGGAGTTCATGATGTGTCAAATTTAATCAAGGAGATAAGAGCTGGGCAGCCCGTCCCATGTGTACTCGCGAGGAAGAGAAAAGAGCGATTCAGATAGCCGTGTCGTGAACAAGAACATGCATGGGACAGAATAGGTCTGGTTCGTGCTCACCTGGTAGATCTTCGATTGCCCTCTAGCTCCGCCAGCCCTTGCCTGCAAAGGCCGGTCCGTTGTAGATGTAGCAGTGGCATTCATGGTCTACAAGCATAATGGCAAGCACCTATCCGGCAATACAGGTGCTATGCAGTGGGAGCTTTGGGGATGATGTAGACTAACAGTCCATCCCAACGAAGCTGCGAAGATACAAGAGGGTCGATTTAGATGAGGCGCGACCGAAGTCACAAGTTTAAATAAAAATGTAA